ATAAAACAAGGGAGACTTTCAGTCTTCTCTCCATGTTCCGAATTTTTAAATTTAAGTTCGGCATCTAATAGCCTACTTTTTACGAATTCCAAGGTTACACTAGTCGTCATTGTCTCAAGGGCCGTTATTACCGTATCGTATTTTTGAGGCATAGTTAGAAGAAGGTGGCTTACCTTGTCGCTATCTTCCATTATTGTGCCGGTCGACTCCAATTCCCTTATGAGTCCGTCAAATATTACGAAGTGATTCTGTAAGTCATCATCTCCGCACTTAAGTGACAATAATTTTCTTCTTATATATAGTTTAGAAAATGTACTTTTTCGTTCAAAGACGTTCGTAAGAGATTTCATCATTTCTCGAGCTGTTTTCGAATCTTTAACATATTCTAAATGTCTGTCTGTTAGACACTGTATAATTATGCTTCTGGCCTTGGCGTCTCTTTCGTTGAATCTTTTCTTTTCTGTCTCAGTTATTCCATCAGTCTCTATTACATGTTCACCAACGAGGTCCTTTACCCCTTTTTCTTCTAAAATAATTTCTACTCGAAATCTCCAGTTAGAAAAGTTTCCATCCCGTAATTGCGGTAAGGTGGTCGCCATATTGCTTTCCATTGTCTTAACGCTTAGACTGATTCGTAATTTTTTTTTTTTCACTTTCTTCCTTAACTTATTCGTTGACTGATTTGGTGAAGCTATTTGTGCTCTTCTGGGCCCATAACCTGTTACAATCCAATACGAGGAGACGACTATTTTGGTAATATTAACAACTTACTTTATTGGTAACACACACATACAAAGCAAAAGAAAGAAGAAAAAGAGCTTTGGAAAGCCCGCCAATCGTATATATATAGAGCTTGTGTGCCCTCTGGTGGCTCAAGTCCTACAATATTTAACACTGGATATCATAGTACACAGTCTGAGAACCATTGCATTAGAGTATAGATCTAAATATAAGATGTCTTCATATAGCAAAATAATATATATTTTTATTAAAATATTCTATCCATTATTGTATTAATTAATTAAATAAAATCAACAGTTTTATTCAATTACAAATCAATGAGCTCATTTAAAATTTGGCATTCTACACAAAAATCATCAATATAGCAAATGTTTTCTGGATCATTTGCAGGAGATTTATGTCTACCTGTTCTGTGGTACCATGAGGCTCCTCCCACTGGTCTCTCTCTCAATGGCTTCTTTCAATTTTGCATTCAGGTCCCAGGATAGAAATTTAACATTCCTAAGGCCAACCAACTAACTGACAGGGTTTCAGATCAACAATGAAGGTTATGTTATCCCACCTTATGACAATCTTACTGGTTGTTATAAAACTCAACCTACCAACAGTCATATGTTCAAGTTTATTCTTTTAGTTGGAAAATTTCAAGAAAACCATCAATCAGCATTAAGTAATGAAGTGGATGGTTAGAATCACATTTTGATCTCATCATGAAGTAATAGTAAAGTAAAAACAGAGATTGGTGCTAAAAGTAGGTAAATGATACTATGGTCAATATTGACAAAGCTAATTTATTTAAAAAAATAATGAAAAACATCTTTTAATTAATGTGTAATTAGCAAACAAAGAAGGAATTCACAGTAGTGGTAAAGCAATGGGTTGTTCAAATATTTAAGAAAAACTAAATCATTAGATGGCATGCGAATGCCTGACATATCTGTTGCTTGATTTCCTTAGACTTAACGTCATCACACCTGAATCATTGCACCTTTCTCAAATCTTTCTCCAGCAGCATCATTTACAGCATAAAAACTTTAATACCAAATTGCATTTTTAACTCCAGCCACTTACTCAAACTAAGTCTTAGTCTCAAATCCTGTAAATGAATATATAGATTACAATGGCATGTGGTGACATTTGATGATAGGGAAGCTATGCCAACCCTGGATAGAATTATTGGAAGCATTATACGAAATTTTGGTGTACAGCATCCACCAGCTAAACCACATGAGGTTGGTGCTCTGTAAAGCACATGCATGAATGCATATAATCTGGCTGCTATACACAATTCAAATATTTTTGCTGTGGAAGCTGTATTATATTTGGCAGTATGGCACTTCCATTGGGAGTATGCATATATAAATTTATATTCAAATATACAATAGCAACCTTATCACTTTTTTCACATGTAATAAGATACATAATGCAGTTATAATAAAATATTAATTTTAATTAATTCAAAGTATGTTAAAATATGAAAATAATCACACAATATGTATTTATATTTTAGAAAATACAAAGGAAGTGGTGCTTCCACAGCTTCTGTGGACGGCATGCCACCGATAGATTAGTATGTTATTTAAGATAAACAGCTTACTTTACAGTAAAATTACTGATTATATGAGAAGAATAATTTGAAGAAATAGAAAAAAAATAAAAAGCATGAAGATTAATTAAACTGACTGTTTATAACGGTTAAAACAATGGTGAAAATGTTATAAACACTTAATATTAACTCTTTAAACTTTGAAAATTTCTTCTTGCTATGTACTTGTTTTTAATCATCAGGCTAGGCTTTAGTGGTGGAGAATGATTCTTCCCAGTAATGGAAGAGTTCAAATTTGTTTTATGTGGAAGAATAGCATGCAGGACAAATCAGGATTGTCTCGCTGCTATTATTGTTCTTTTAATTATATTTGCTGTTTTATAATATTAAAAAAAACTTATTTTGTGCTTTTTATTTGAAATGAAATTATTTTGTAGGAAACAGTAACTTCTAAATAGTAGACTAGTTCACACTTAATTTATTCTTTGTTGGTAATTCCTTTATGCTTTTGTTGAGGTTTTAGAATATTAGTTATCCTGCATAGCTGTTAATCATGTAACGAGTTTTCTCTTTTGTTTAAAATAATTTACTTGTTTCTTTATATTCTATATCCATGATTCCACAGTGCACGTCATGACAAGAGCTGTTGGTGATTCAACAGTTTTTACAATTGCCCAACATGCTTTCCTTCAGACACAACATCGTACCTTTGCTCTCTGCTATACCTGAACCATTGCATCTTTCTCAAATTTCTCTTCAGCAACTTTACTAGAGCTTTAATTTGATACCTGAACCATACTTTTAGCCACAGCCATTTACTCAAACTAAGTTTGACACTGAGATCCTTTTTCAATTAATATATAGATTATTAAACAACACTTAATTTTGAGGGCAGAAATGAGTTTTATAAATAATTGCAAATGCTAATAATGAGTAAAATCTTCATTAAGTCCAATCCCACTTGAGATTGGACACAATCCTCCTCTAACTCCCTACTCTGTTGACCTTAAACCATCAAAATTTATATAGCCTCATTCCCTCTAATACATAAACCTCTCTGCAAACCTTCAGAAATTTTTGACAAAAGGAATAGGAGTTATCAAGTTTTGAAGTGGGTGAATGAAATTATGTTCCCCTCATACACCAATACATAAAGAAAAAGCTTTCACTTTTTTTTTGTATTTCTCAATGTTTCAAGGTTGAGTCAAAAAACATATGTATTGATCTCCCCAAAATAAAAATCTTGGAGGGGTTTTGTTACTAATTGCTCTGTCATAACAGCCAGGAAAGTAAAAAAAATATTAAAAATACAAAGTAAAAAATTATTTTGTTTAAATAACTTTAATTTAAAAATATTTTAATCTTACCTAGGAAAATTTTCAAAATTTTCAACCAATTCACTATCAACATCAATAGTTCCACTATACCTTCGATGCCTTTTTTGATTTACATCCTGTGGTAACATATTAAGAAATCCCAATCCACATAATTGTTGAAAAAGTGTTAATGATGTTTTTCTAAGTCTAACATCAAAGGATTCTCTTCTTTTCCTTGCCAATTGATAATGATGAAGAGGAGAACGTTCTTGATATGAATGAGACCATGTCTGTGTAGATGTTGTACCCAAAGAACTACGAGCATGTTGTTCAGATTCTGTAAGTTCACAAGATTGTTGTGGATGTGCACATATAAAAAAAATTGGAGATTTTGGTGCTTTTCTCTTTAATTCTATTAATTCTGTGATTTCCTAAATATACAGAAATTGATAATTATAAAATGTATATTTATTAGGTATTTATTCTTATTGACAAAATTATTAAAAACAGTATTACTTAATCCAATAACTTTCACTATTTCTTGAACACTTCATCTTTTAAAACAATATATTTATAATTTTAAAATAGATAATCTATTATCAAATTTTGATTCAACTTATTAATGAAATAGTTTATTTTGAATTTTATTTGGGTATAGACTTAAAGCACTACTATTTGATAGATGAAAATGGCTTTAATTTGAGGTTTATGAAACATTTGTTTAAAAAGTTATAATGCTTAATCACAAAGATTTCACATAATAGTAATAAGAATAATTATAAGAATAAGAAATATATTTGCATGTTTTCTAAATAATTTCATCAAGAGATATCTATATATAATTTATATGTATAATTTACTTTCTTTTTGGAAAAATGTCTTTTACAGTTTTGATTGTATTTCTGAAAATTATAAAATTACTTCAAAAAGACTTACAAAATATATTAACAAGCATAATTCTTTTAGATATAAGAATGAAAACATCGAAAAATTTATGCATTTACAAATGATAATCTTTTCTATATGAACCCCATTTCACATTAAAAATATAAAAATTCTTTACAGGAATTATCAATAAATAAAATCTGAATTTAGGAAATAAGTTTAATCAGGTTTGTTAAATTAACATGCATTTCATTTTTAAAAATACTGCCATTAATATTACTGTAGATATTAACATAATTGTTTGATATTTTATTTATCTATATTAGAAAGTTTGATAAAAAAAAAAATTACAAAAAGATAATACGCAAAATTATTGCTAAAGATGTAACCAATACTGAATTGCTAAATCAATAAATTGTAATGTTCCTGATATATCTAAATTTGTTCATTTTACAAACTGATATCCAATTTTTTTTTTCTTTAATATTCTAGATATAACTGATATATTAGTGTATTGGAATATTCATAATATACTTATGTATTGGTAACATTTGCAAACCAGTTCTCCAATTTTTCTTTTGTTTTTTGACAGTTATCATCAAAAAACCAAAGAAAAACAAGAGATTAAAACATCCATTTGTAAAAATGAACAATTCCAATATTGCGGACATTCTGATACACCAATATAATGATATTGGTTCAGTATTCATAAGCATTTTTCTAATTATTACTACTGAAATTCAATCATCCTTCTGAATCATTAATAATATACATAGAACAAACAAGTCAAACATACTGATAAAGATATTGTAACAAGTAAAATTTTCAAGATATATTGTATTTCCTCAATTAAGCCTGGAATTCAAATAATCTTGTTTTCAAATAAATCTCAGATTGAGAATCATGAAAAACATGTTTAAGTACTGCACTATATATCATAATGTAGTTTAGAGTGACAGGTAAGAAATTTAGCTGAAAGTCTACATCTTCAAATTGTCTAGAGTCAAACAACACTTTCTATTCCAAGGTTTATGAAAACATTTTTGGAAATAAAAATTTGTTGAATATTGAACAAGGGAATGTTGCAATTAAGTTCTTAAGTTGAGGGCTTATTAAACTGAAGGATAATAAAGTTATTCTGATTTCCAATTACAGTTATAAACAGAATACTTATTTTAAAATGTAACTATAACCCATAAATACAGTCACTAAGCAGTTTTGATCATTTTGAAAAAGTACAAGTACTTAAAATATTTATTTTAACTTTGCAACAGGAAGTTGTAAATGCAATAAATCCTGGTCTCAAAAAACTCCAAGAGATACTATGTTTTAAAAATAAACCCACAAGGCTTAATCAAGGAAACACAGTATATAAGCTTCAAATTATTTGGTTAGGCTCTAAATAACTTTTTTTTTATCTAAATTATATTAACTCTNTAGTTTATACGGATTATTCCCAAAAAATTATACATGTTTTGGAAATGTTGAGTCAAATTAGTCTACAATTGATTAATTTTATGGAAGAAAACCTTTCAAACAGCCATAGTCTGTAAACTTCACACGTGTCGGGCTGCGACTGGCTCATGTATGTAAGGATTCCTACAACGTGAAATTCTTATAAAGTGGAACGTATCTACCACGTTACAGGGGGGGGTCTACTGTATTATGTTCAGATCAAACACTATAAACAAAAATATCTTTCAACATTACAATTTAGATACTTTGTGCACCAAATTTTATGCTCAAAATTTGAGTTGAAATTGAATTTGACAAATCATCCAAGAATTTGAATAATAAATGTCTCATTACCTATCAGGATTTAATAATTTGAAACAAGTTAAAATCCTGCTTTAGACCAGGTTTTTTCAATATTTCTAAATTGTGATAATTAAGATTATTTCAGGTTCATCAATAGAAGGAATGTTATCCATTTTTGTTCTTCTTAAATACTTAATGTAATTAAGTGAATGTCAACTTAAATTTTTGATATGATAATACTGGTAATATCATCTAATTCATTAGATCAATAGTTCCAAAACTTTTGTGACTCACAGGTCTCTTAACCTGTTTCTAGCTGGTGGCAATTCCCTATATATATATATACACACACACACACTTGGAAGAGGAAAACCAGCTAGGTAGTAATCTATTTAATTAATTGGTATGTTGGTTTTATAATTAAATTATATAAGCAAATAAAAGAAAATGGTCCTTACAAGGGATGTATACAACTTTTACATGCACCTAATGACAGATATTTTGATTATATATTGAAAAGTACTGCCTAATTAGTATACATCAATAATAAAAATTTCCAGAATACAAAAGCATGCATAGAAGAAAAAAAAACCACTTATGCATACAGTTGCAAAAAAGTAAAGGTAATTGTTTTTCATAAATTTCAATTCCAATGTAGTAATAAACATGCTAATTAGTAAATTATTTTACAGGTTACTAATAAAGGAATCAATGTGGATCATACTGATCCAGTGTAAACATTGATAAAAGCATATTTTCATCAATTATTTTCATCATAACTGGAAAGCCACAAACTTAAATATTATTATTTTTAATCTTATGTACAGTACAGTACAGTACAATATCATTCAAGATGAGCTAGAATTTAGAGTATGGAACTTCTTTCTATGAATTTAATGAACATTTTCTCTAAGATTTTAAATTCAAATATCTCTACAGTAATACCTCAACTTACGCTACCCCGACTTATGCAAACGTAGAGTTACGAGATTTTCAAATCTCGTCGATTCATCTTTTGTTTGAGTGCCATGCAGCTCATGATTACTCACTCCCCCCCACACTATTGTTCAGCTTACATGTTTGGACGTGTCATGGAATCAACACATAGCTACAATTTATTTTGTGTTATTTATTTCTGTGTTTGTTATATCTACAGAGACTTGAGAGACTATGTGGTAATTTCTTGTAACCGTGAACGAATCAAATGATGAGATAAGATTAACGAGAACATTTATTAGCTTAAATACATCCGACTTGGATGTTACACAAATTGCAAAATTATATCCCGACTTACGCGAATTTGATTTACGCAGTTATCGTTCAGTCCCACCTATCGCGTAAGTTTGGGGTATCACTGTATTTCCTTTTTGAATCTGGAAGAATTAATTTTGTATTATGAGTAATTAAACTATGCTGCTTAATTTGCAATAAAAGAAGTTTTATTTATTGCATGTAAAATGTTGTACTTCCCTTGTTAGGCAAAGAATAAGAACTTTATTTAAATTGTATAAATATACAATTATTTTCATACAAGGGGCAAAGCTTCCTTGCTTTGCTCACCCCTTGGGCTTTGTCCATCTGTTCAAAAATTTCATGATGATTCATCATCAAATTCCCAGTGATACTATTTCTATATTCCCCCAAAATGGAAAAGTGTCATGACAATTTTAACGTAAGTACTGTATTTTATATATAGAGGGTAAATGCAACACATTCACTGACTACAAATTGTAACTTGCAAGATTAACTACAAAACAGAAGTAAAATGTCTAAGAAACTATTTCTATCTTTTTTGTCTATTAACAGGAAAAGAATATAACCTAATTCTGAGAAAAAAAAGTTTGAATTTATTTAAAAAGTTCTAATGAAAAACAGATCAAGATACACAGCTTACGCAGGCATACAAAAAATGCACTGCATGGACGCTGTCAGTGCATCACTAGTAATTAAAGTAAGATTAACATGGCTGTAACACCTAACTACTTTTGGCAAACTCCTGGATGTTACAATCCAATACGAGGAGACGACTATTTTGGTAATATTAACAACTTACTTTATTGGTAACACACACATACAAAGCAAAAGAAAGAAGAAAAAGAGCTTTGGAAAGCCTGCCAATCGTATATATATAGAGCTTGTGCACCCTCTGGTGGCTCAAGTCCTACAATATTTAACACCACCCCTCAATTTCAAAAGGTTTACATTATGAAATTGCATTAGTTATGCATTACACAATCTGATGTCTTGAATATACCCAGATGTTTTCTAAGACAAATGAATCTATTTGAACACAATGCTTTATTGAAAGTATCTGCTATATTATCACTCGAGGGAACATAGCTTAAACTCAAAAGATTTCTGGCTACTAGGTCTTTAATGAAGTGTGCTCTTATGTCGATATGTTTTGACTGTTTGCTATTTTCATAGCTTTCATGACTGCTACAATTTTTCTTCCAGAGTTTAATTCCGACATTATTCCTTGAAGGTTGACAAGTTCAGCAGCAGTTGCTGCAGATGCTAAATATTCTGACTCTGCTGTAGACAGTGCGACAGATTGTTGCTTTTTGGATGATCAGGATATAAAGATTATTGTTGTGAAAAATTGCATAACCACTTATGCTTTTCCTGTCAGTTTTGTCTCTTGCCCAGTCTGCATCTGAAAATGCAATCAGTTTTTCATCTGTACAAACTGAATAGTTTAAGGTTAGGTCTTTTGTCTGTTTGAGGTATCTTAGTATTTTCTTTCCTGCTATCCAAAGCGCTGCAGTGGGCTTAGGGCAAGTTGGGTTATCTTCCAGTTTTCATTCATTGCCTTTGATAAGAGTAATCTCACTGTTGATATTCTTACTACTGGTGCATATGAGTTGTTAAATTCTTCTTCCTGATATCCTTTTGCAACGAGACGTGCTTTCTTTGTTCCATCTGGTTTTGTTCGAAACACCCACTTGGTTTCTATTGGATCTTTGTCCTTTGGAAGTGTTGTTTCAGTCCAGGTGCCAAATTTTAGATGAGCCTCTAGTTCCTTTTCTATGGCATCTTTCCATTCTTTTCCTGATTCAACTGCCTCTTCATAGGTTTCTGGATCTTCAGAATATAAGCAGTATGCAATATGCATTTCATAATCATTATATTTTTGTGGTAATTTTATAGTTCTTTTCCTTATTTCTTTTTCTTGTATTTCTTGTTCACTTTGATTTATCTTTTCATGATCACTATTAGTTTTGTTGTCCTCTTCTTTGTCTCTTGCATAGAAGTCATCATCACTTTGAGTTTTGTAGTATACCGGCATAGGAGTTTCATTAAATTTTACATCTCTACCTATTAGGATCTCGTTTTCCTTTGGATCCCAGAGTCTGTATCCTGACCCGCTATATCCTACCATTCTGACTTCCTTGGCACGTGATTCTAACTTTGTAGATTGTGGTAGCTTATATAACCAGGCTTGACAACCGAATACTTTTAGTTTTGATAAGTCAACTTTTCCATACCATATTCTTGAAGGGATATTTCCACTGAGTGCTGTGGTGGGGGATCGATTTATCTGATAAGCGGCTGTACGAATTGCCTCTCCCCACAAGTGTTTAGGTAGATCACTGTCTTCAAACATAGTTCTTGCTTTATCCAATAGTGTCCTATTCATTCTTTCTGCCAACCCTCCTTGCTGAGGTGTGTAGGCTGTTGTATATTCCATTTTTATTCCTTTGTTCTTACAGAAGTCTTTCAATATCCTTGAGGAAAATTCACCTCCATTGTCCCATCTAATACGACTTACTCTTTTTTCAAATTGAGCATGTATTTCTCTGACGTAGTTCATTATGTTGAGTGCTGCTTCTCCTTTGTTTCTTAAGAGATATACTACAGTAAAATGTGAGAAATCATCTGTTATTGTTTGGAAGTATTTTTCATCATTTATAGTATTTGGATTTATGGGTCCACATACGTCTGTGTGCAATAGTTCTCCTATTCTGTGTGATCTGTGTTCATTCCTTTTGAATGGTAATCTAGTAGCTTTGCCCTTCATGCATGGTCCACAAGGTTGGTTGGGGCATGGCAGATTCATTACTTTCAGATCACGGTAGTTTAGGTGGCCTAATCTTCTATGCCACAAGTCATTTGCTTCCGTTTTGAGGCATTGTATATTATTTCTTATGGTAAACTTTGCAATAAACAGGCTTCCTGTAAGTGGACAATCCATGTGAAAATCTCTGTGCATTATAACAGCCTTTTTTCTTTCAAAGATAACCCTTTTTCCAGTGTCATTGATTTTTCTTACAGATAGCAAGTTATGGGAAATCTTTGGTACAATGAGAGCAGTCAGAACAATATTTTTATTATTATAAGATAGTCTTATCTTGCCTCTTTTTTGTGCTAGAAGTTTTTCTCCATTTGCTACATTTATGCTTATTGGTTTGGTTAAACTTTCTATATCTGTCATATAAGTAGCAGTATTTTCTTGAACTAGGTGTTCTGTTGCTCCTGAATCCAATACGAAATGTATGATGCTTTGTTGTCCGATGTTTGTGTCATGTTCTGTGTTATATGCCACAAAGGATATTTCCATGTCATGTGATGTGATATTTGCTCTTTCTTCATAGTTTCTCTGGTTACTTCCATTATTCTGATAGTTGTTTCTCCAAATCCTTCTACTTTTATTTTCACTACTTTTCCTTTTCCCTCTGGCATTATGGCCTGAGTGAGTACTCTCTCCTCTTTTAGGACAATTATATTTCAAATGTCGACGATCTCCGCAAATAAAACAACCTTTATTTCCCACTCCTATAAAACAAGGGAGACTTTCAGTCTTCTCTCCATGTTCCGAATTTTTAAATTTAAGTTCGGCATCTAATAGCCTACTTTTTACGAATTCCAAGGTTACACTAGTCGTCATTGTCTCAAGGGCCGTTATTACCGTATCGTATTTTTGAGGCATAGTTAGAAGAAGGTGGCTTACCTTGTCGCTATCTTCCATTATTGTGCCGGTCGACTCCAATTCCCTTATGAGTCCGTCAAATATTACGAAGTGATTCTGTAAGTCATCATCTCCGCACTTAAGTGACAATAATTTTCTTCTTATATATAGTTTAGAAAATGTACTTTTTCGTTCAAAGACGTTCGTAAGAGATTTCATCATTTCTCGAGCTGTTTTCGAATCTTTAACATATTCTAAATGTCTGTCCGTTAGACACTGTATAATTATGCTTCTGGCCTTGGCGTCTCTTTCGATGAATCTTTTCTTTTCTGTCTCAGTTATTCCATCAGTCTCTATTACATGTTCACCAACGAGGTCCTTTACCCCTTTTTCTTCTAAAATAATTTCTACTCGAAATCTCCAGTTAGAAAAGTTTCCATCCCGTAATTGCGGTAAGGTGGTCGCCATATTGCTTTCCATTGTCTTAACGCTTAGACTGATTCGTAATTTTTTTTTTTCACTTTCTTCCTTAACTTATTCGTTGACTGATTTGGTGAAGCTATTTGTGCTCTTCTGGGCCCATAACCTGTTACAATCCAATACGAGGAGACGACTATTTTGGTAATATTAACAACTTACTTTATTGGTAACACACATACAAAGCAAAAGAAAGAAGAAAAAGAGCTTTGGAAAGCCCGCCAATCGTATATATATAGAGCTTGTGTGCCCTCTGGTGGCTCAAGTCCTACAATATTTAACACTGGATATCATAGTACACAGTCTGAGAACCATTGCATTAGAGTATAGATCTAAATATAAGATGTCTTCATATAGCAAAATAATATATATTTTTATTAAAATATTCTATCCATTATTGTATTAATTAATTAAATAAAATCAACAGTTTTATTCAATTACAAATCAATGAGCTCATTTAAAATTTGGCATTCTACACAAAAATCATCAATATAGCAAATGTTTTCTGGATCATTTGCAGGAGATTTATGTCTACCTGTTCTGTGGTACCATGAGGCTCCTCCCACTGGTCTCTCTCTCAATGGCTTCTTTCAATTTTGCATTCAGGTCCCAGGATAGAAATTTAACATTCCTAAGGCCAACCAACTAACTGACAGGGTTTCAGATCAACAATGAAGGTTATGTTATCCCACCTTATGACAATCTTACTGGTTGTTATAAAACTCAACCTACCAACAGTCATATGTTCAAGTTTATTCTTTTAGTTGGAAAATTTCAAGAAAACCATCAATCAGCATTAAGTAATGAAGTGGATGGTTAGAATCACATTTTGATCTCATCATGAAGTAATAGTAAAGTAAAAACAGAGATTGGTGCTAAAAGTAGGTAAATGATACTATGGTCAATATTGACAAAGCTAATTTATTTAAAAAAATAATGAAAAACATCTTTTAATTAATGTGTAATTAGCAAACAAAGAAGGAATTCACAGTAGTGGTAAAGCAATGGGTTGTTCAAATATTTAAGAAAAACTAAATCATTAGATGGCATGCGAATGCCTGACATATCTGTTGCTTGATTTCCTTAGACTTAACGTCATCACACCTGAATCATTGCACCTTTCTCAAATCTTTCTCCAGCAGCATCATTTACAGCATAAAAACTTTAATACCAAATTGCATTTTTAACTCCAGCCACTTACTCAAACTAAGTCTTAGTCTCAAATCCTGTAAATGAATATATAGATTACAATGGCATGTGGTGACATTTGATGATAGGGAAGCTATGCCAACCCTGGATAGAATTATTGGAAGCATTATACGAAATTTTGGTGTACAGCATCCACCAGCTAAACCACATGAGGTTGGTGCTCTGTAAAGCACATGCATGAATGCATATAATCTGGCTGCTATACACAATTCAAATATTTTTGCTGTGGAAGCTGTATTATATTTGGCAGTATGGCACTTCCATTGGGAGTATGCATATATAAATTTATATTCAAATATACAATAGCAACCTTATCACTTTTTTCACATGTAATAAGATACATAATGCAGTTATAATAAAATATTAATTTTAATTAATTCAAAGTATGTTAAAATATGAAAATAATCACACAATATGTATTTATATTTTAGAAAATACAAAGGAAGTGGTGCTTCCACAGCTTCTGTGGACGGCATGCCACCGATAGATTAGTATGTTATTTAAGATAAACAGCTTACTTTACAGTAAAATTACTGATTATATGAGAAGAATAATCTGAAGAAATAGAAAAAAAATAAAAAGCATGAAGATTAATTAAACTGACTGTTTATAACGGTTAAAACAATGGTGAAAATGTTATAAACACTTAATATTAACTCTTTAAACTTTGAAAATTTCTTCTTGCTATGTACTTGTTTTTAATCATCAGGCTAGGCTTTAGTGGTGGAGAATGATTCTTCCCAGTAATGGAAGAGTTCAAATTTGTTTTATGTGGAAGAATAGCATGCAGGACAAATCAGGATTGTCTCGCTGCTATTATTGTTCTTTTAATTATATTTGCTGTTTTATAATATTAAAAAAAACTTATTTTGTGCTTTTTATTTGAAATGAAATTATTTTGTAGGAAACAGTAACTTCTAAATAGTAGACTAGTTCACACTTAATTTATTCTTTGTTGGTAATTCCTTTATGCTTTTGTTGAGGTTTTAGAATATTAGTTATCCTGCATAGCTGTTAATCATGTAACGAGTTTTCTCTTTTGTTTAAAATAATTTACTTGTTTCTTTATATTCTATATCCATGATTCCACAGTGCACGTCATGACAAGAGCTGTTGGTGATTCAACAGTTTTTACAATTGCCCAACATGCTTTCCTTCAGACACAACATCGTACCTTTGCTCTCTGCTATACCTGAACCATTGCATCTTTCTCAAATTTCTCTTCAGCAACATTACTAGAGCTTTAATTTGATACCTGAACCATACTTTTAGCCACAGCCATTTACTCAAACTAAGTTTGACACTGAGATCCTTTTTCAATTAATATATAGATTATTAAACAACACTTAATTTTGAGGGCAGAAATGAGTTTTATAAATAATTGCAAATGCTAATAATGAGTAAAATCTTCATTAAGTCCAATCCCACTTGAGATTGGACACAATCCTCCTCTAACTCCCTACTCTGTTGACCTTAAACCATCAAAATTTATATAGCCTCATTCCCTCTAATACATAAACCTCTCTGCAAACCTTCAGAAATTTTTGACAAAAGGAATAGGAGTTATCAAGTTTTGAAGTGGGTGAATGAAATTATGTTCCCCTCATACACCAATACATAAAGAAAAAGCTTTCACTTTTTTTTTGTATTTCTCAATGTTTCAAGGTTGAGTCAAAAAACATATGTATTGATCTCCCCAAAATAAAAATCTTGGAGGGGTTTTGTTACTAATTGCTCTGTCATAACAGCCAGGAAAGTAAAAAAAATATTAAAAATACAAAGTAAAAAATTATTTTGTTTAAATAACTTTAATTTAAAAATATTTTAATCTTACCTAGGAAAATTTTCAAAATTTTCAACCAATTCACTATCAACATCAATAGTTCCACTATACCTTCGATGCCTTTTTTGATTTACATCCTGTGGTAACATATTAAGAAATCCCAATCCACATAATTGTTGAAAAAGTGTTAATGATGTTTTTCTAAGTCTAACATCAAAGGATTCTCTTCTTTTCCTTGCCAATTGATAATGATGAAGAGGAGAACGTTCTTGATATGAATGAGACCATGTCTGTGTAGATGTTGTACCCAAAGAACTACGAGCATGTTGTTCAGATTCTGTAAGTTCACAAGATTGTTGTGGATGTGCACATATAAAAAAAATTGGAGATTTTGGTGCTTTTCTCTTTAATTCTATTAATTCTGTGATTTCCTAAATATACAGAAATTGATAATTATAAAATGTATATTTATTAGGTATTTATTCTTATTGACAAAATTATTAAAAACAGTATTACTTAATCCAATAACTTTCACTATTTCTTGAACACTTCATCTTTTAAAACAATATATTTATAATTTTAAAATAGATAATCTATTATCAAATTTTGATTCAACTTATTAATGAAATAGTTTATTTTGAATTTTATTTGGGTATAGACTTAAAGCACTACTATTTGATAGATGAAAATGGCTTTAATTTGAGGTTTATGAAACATTTGTTTAAAAAGTTATAATGCTTAATCACAAAGATTTCACATAATAGTAATAAGAATAATTATAAGAATAAGAAATATATTTGCATGTTTTCTAAATAATTTCATCAAGAGATATCTATATATAATTTATATGTATAATTTACTTTCTTTTTGGAAAAATGTCTTTTACAGTTTTGATTGTATTTCTGAAAATTATAAAATTACTTCAAAAAGACTTACAAAATATATTAACAAGCATAATTCTTTTAGATATAAGAATGAAAACATCGAAAAATTTATGCATTTACAAATGATAATCTTTTCTATATGAACCCCATTTCACATTAAAAATATAAAAATTCTTTACAGGAATTATCAATAAATAAAATCTGAATTTAGGAAATAAGTTTAATCAGGTTTGTTAAATTAACATGCATTTCATTTTTAAAAATACTGCCATTAATATTACTGTAGATATTAACATAATTGTTTGATATTTTATTTATCTATATTAGAAAGTTTGATAAAAAAAAAAATTACAAAAAGATAATACGCAAAATTATTGCTAAAGATGTAACCAATACTGAATTGCTAAATCAATAAATTGTAATGTTCCTGATATATCTAAATTTGTTCATTTTACAAACTGATATCCAATTTTTTTTTTCTTTAATATTCTAGATATAACTGATATATTAGTGTATTGGAATATTCATAATATACTTATGTATTGGTAACATTTGCAAACCAGTTCTCCAATTTTTCTTTTGTTTTTTGACAGTTATCATCAAAAAACCAAAGAAAAACAAGAGATTAAAACATCCATTTGTAAAAATGAACAATTCCAATATTGCGGACATTCTGATACACCAATATAATGATATTGGTTCAGTATTCATAAGCATTTTTCTAATTATTACTACTGAAATTCAATCATCCTTCTGAATCATTAATAATATACATAGAACAAACAAGTCAAACATACTGATAAAGATATTGTAACAAGTAAAATTTTCAAGATATATTGTATTTCCTCAATTAAGCCTGGAATTCAAATAATCTTGTTTTCAAATAAATCTCAGATTGAGAATCATGAAAAACATGTTTAAGTACTGCACTATATATCATAATGTAGTTTAGAGTGACAGGTAAGAAATTTAGCTGAAAGTCTACATCTTCAAATTGTCTAGAGTCAAACAACACTTTCTATTCCAAGGTTTATGAAAACATTTTTGGAAATAAAAATTTGTTGAATATTGAACAAGGGAATGTTGCAATTAAGTTCTTAAGTTGAGGGCTTATTAAACTGAAGGATAATAAAGTTATTCTGATTTCCAATTACAGTTATAAACAGAATACTTATTTTAAAATGTAACTATAACCCATAAATACAGTCACTAAGCAGTTTTGATCATTTTGAAAAAGTACAAGTACTTAAAATATTTATTTTAACTTTGCAACAGGAAGTTGTAAATGCAATAAATCCTGGTCTCAAAAAACTCCAAGAGATACTATGTTTTAAAAATAAACCCACAAGGCTTAATCAAGGAAACACAGTATATAAGCTTCAAATTATTTGGTTAGGCTCTAAATAACTTTTTTTTTATCTAAATTATATTAACTCTAATCAAATATGCTACTCTCTGAACAATCTGAAGTTGAAACATAGATCCTAATCTTTAATCTCTAATCCTAATAAAACCTAATCTTTATCAAGAAATTTAACTTGATAAAGTTACATATTTTTAAGTTGTTAAGTTATAATTTTTAAGTTATATATTTATAAGTTGATAAATTTATGTATGTTATTGTTATTACTTTAATTCATCATATATTTTATTAAATAAAAATATTTATACTAAAAGTTTATATAAGAAATGTTTAAGTAAAAACATTTACCCGTTGATTTAATGACTCCGATTCAATGGCATATATCAAAATAGGTGAAAGTCCTTCTGTACAGACATCATAAAACTGTTCTAAACTAAACCTGCAATTGCTGGGAGAAACTACTATCTGAACATCATCTTTAAGTATTGAGTGATGAAGATGAATTTCTAATACTGCACTTTCTAAGGCTGGATCATCATGAATTTCTTCCTGAAAATGTAAATCACAAATTAGTTTAAATTAAAATTAAATTAATTTAAATTAATTAAAAACCGTTAATTTAATTAAAATTGAATTAAAGGTTTTTCAAGTTTTGTCCTACAAATAGAAAAATTATATTTAACTCTTTGTAAAAAATTCTGAGCAAGTAATGAAAAATTTTGAAAGCTGCTATCCAAATTCAGTCTTTTAAGTTATTGTATGTAGTTGTTTATTGCTGCAGGCAGAAGTATACAGTTATAAAGCACATCAACTACAAGTCCTACAAAAAGTAATTGATGAAGATATGATTTGGTGATCAGGGTAGCCATACATTAATCTTTGTTAGTTAATCATTGCATTCTGATAGAAATGGGAATTATTTCCTGCACACAAGAATAAAATTCATACTTTTTAAAGTTATTTAACCAAGGTTAAATATTTAATGTGCATTTTATCTTTTAAAATACATTTTTGTCATTCACATCATTTGTAAACATCTTGTGTAAATGTTAAAACTATGTGGCCAGAAATTAATTATTTGCTCTATTAGGTATTTAAAATAAAAAACAAAATATAACTATAGATTAATTAGTCAATTCTTTATTAGGAAGTTAATACATAACTTATCCTTACTAATTCTTCACTATATTATTTGTTCCTGGATAATTTTTTTTTGGATAATTCATGCAAATTCTTTAAGAAAATGTCCAGAAAAAAATTGTTGAAAAGATATTAGGCTAAATTATTTGATAATGAGGAAAAACTGACTTGATAGGCTACCAACTATAGACCTACAGGTAACACCCTCATATAACATGGGAGTTATGTTCCAAAAAATTGCCATATTATGCGAATCCATGTTATACAAAACAAAGAACTAGTGCAAAAAGGGAGGGTTATGTTCCAAAAATTAAAAAACATGCTGTTAAATCCTTATTTAAATCGGATTTATTATTCATTTTTTTTTCATAGATAAAATACTTATTTATTATTTAAGTAAATATTTTACCAGATGATTATTCATCCTATATGATGATCTCAGCATGAGCATCATCAATTGGTAACAGTTTTTGGATGCGTTCGTTAATAGCAGTTGCTCTGCAGTGGGAGTGCGCTGCTGTTTGTAGGCATTTAGGAACGACGGTGAAAGAAAGATGGCAGCTCCTGCACTATCAATAGTATCGTGATGGAGGAATCTATAATTCTAAAGTGAGCTTTTAGAGGCAAAAGAAGGATCCCAATTGTAAAATTTAACCATTAAATGGATTATTTGTTGAAAGAGCATTCAAAGTAACCACGAAAACAATTAGAATGCTCGTGCAGAGTTACACGGAGGTATAAAAGAACGCACCCTTTATTGCATTTCATGTTGTATGAGGGTTTTTTTCCAATTCCCGAACCATGTTAGAATGAACCCGTGCTATAAAAGCACTGTTATACGGGGATGTTCCCAATTCCCAAATTGTGTTAGAGTGAATCCGTGCTATAGAAGTGCTGTGTTATATGAGGGTTACCTGTACAATGAGGAAAATATTGAAAATAATTTTTTCTATGCTAACTACTATAGGATTCTATCAAAGTACAATCCGGGCTAAAAACATGTCTGTTGATAGAAGAGTTTGGAAAAAAGTAGTGAATGGTAGTATAAAAGTTTGTTTTTTTTTCCACCATGTTGACCTGTACATCCTCTGAGTATTGGCAAGAATGAATGATGATCATCAAAGTACAATTCATAACTGTATTCCAAATTTAAATTGCCAAATGCACAAATACACACAACACAAATATAATCAACTCTAAATTTAAAAGTATAAATGGTTCTCAATGAAAATTTATCTTAAATCTGAGGTAAAATAATTAGAAACATTAGTATGATATATATTGAAACTCAGAAATTCAAAATAAAAATGTTTTGTAGTGAAAAAGAAGTTTAAATTTAAATTTTAATGTACAGTACATATTTAGAGAATGATAAATTAGATAACTTCTGGTAATAAAAGACAACTTTTTGTCTCCCTCTGTCTAAACTGATAATCCTCATGAAAATGAAATCAGTCTCGGTCTTCTTGGATTTTAAAAGATGTGCAAAACAATCTTGTAAGGTTCCACTGCATCTTCTTTGTGGATGCCAGATGACTTGAAATCTTACCATCTTTCCAAAGTTTTTTGCCAGTAACTTAGATTTGAGAATTTTCTCTGATCCATACAAATTACTGCTGAAGCTGTTATATTATTCTATGAATAGAATAAAAGAGTAAATCCATTAAACTTTATATATATATGTTACAAATCCTTAAACGTGAGACAGAGAATCTCATAAAATTAATTGAAATCAAGGGTAACATCCTCTCAATTTGAAATTAGAGCAACCAGTATACATTAGAGGCTTGCTGTAGCAGTAATTTCAAGTAGGTATTTCAACATGTCTAATATTTCTTCCCATTTACAAAGACAAATGCAAATAATTTTATTATTATTAAAATTTTATTTTCACATATTCTAAAATTGGCATTAAGCCAGACATTTAATTTGAGTTGATCATTTCATTCAGAAAATAGAAGTAGCATTAAGTAGTATACACTAAAATAAAATTAAACAACAACAATAAAAAAAATATTTAAAAAGATAAGTTGAATTCATGTTAAGATTATTAAAATTTCTGATGAAAACTATACTACTATTAAGTTAGTTGTTTTGCAGATAACTTACATCTATAATATTTTGAGAACCCAGGCTAGCATTTTTGATAATTTAGACAATTTTAATTATATAGTATTTGTTCAAATACAGAAAAATTGTTTAAACCCAAGATAACAAATATAACAGAAAATTCTCTTTGGTAATGCTTCTTTTGAAAATGACATCATCTGGCAAAGCCTACTCAAAGGAAACTTCCCTAAAATCAGAGATTGGACAGTGACACAGCTCCTTGCACAAGTTCACCAAATTTGGGTATAAGAATGGAGGAGGGAGACCCAAATAAAAGAAAAGGTGAGAGAAGGTCACACAAAGAGAGATGGAGATAGAGTTTGTTTGTTCATCAAGGTGGTTATTATCTGCCACAATATTCTGTTGCTGCTGATCTCAGTTGCCCACCTTCTTTACAAGACCTTTGTTGTTCTATACTAGAAGACTGCTGAATTTAGGATTTAATTTGTGTTTGAACTCTACAACAAGACTGTTCAAGTACCAAGGAAACTTGGTTCTTGAATGGAACCCGTCTGCACCCAGCTCTATGGATATCTTCATCTAGACCAAGGAACTTGATTCCAATGACAAAACAGACTCTCCCATTCAAGACACTTGGCCAGAGATCAGCAGAAATCAAACTGATATAGGTATTTATTGCCATGTGTTTAATTGTAAATGCTTTCTCTCACTAAGATAGGCACAAAAATAGCTTTAAACTCACTCCATATGTTTTAATTTGTATTTAGAATAAGTTTTAGTGAAATATATGTTTGTTGTTTAATTGTTAACTAGTCTAGAGTGCATTCCTTCCAGGTTCTCTGTAACTCAACTTCCTCCTCCATCCCTTACCCATAATTTCCATCATACATGGTTGCTCATACATTTATTGAAAGATTTCAAAAGGTTCCTGTGAGCCAGTAGTCACAGACGGTGTCAGACATAACACAAGAGAGCACTGTTGACCTTTCACAATATTGATCCATATGCTATGTGAGAAAAAGTTATTTATCATGGTAGATGGGATCAAAACATGTACATTTAAAAAATTAGAAGATATATATTATGTTAAATTACTTTTGTACATTTAATATTACATAATAATACTGTCACAGAAATATAAAAAAAATTTACAAATCAAATAAGTTGTCATTTCTATCTGTGTTCACTTGCACTTTGTTCTTATTGTGTTACTCACAAGTCAGTCACAGCACCCTTACTGAATTAGTCTGAAAATACAGATCTCAGTTTTGAGATCAGTGGTTTTGTTTACAAATATGACATTTACTATGTGAGGACTCAAGTAGTAGGACAGACAACCAACCCACTTTCACTGGAAGCAGACAGACTGAATGGTTCCATTATAAATCATTATAATTAGTATTAAAATGAAGCTACTCAACTCAAGAAAAGAAAAATAGTGTCATTGCATACTAACTAATGAAAATAATTATAGGGTGTTTAAATGAAATAAAACATAGCTGTATCCATATTTAAAAATCTGATTAAAGCTTATCAATCAAACCAAAAACATTTTTTTAAGCAAAAAACAACGTACAATGAACCTGTTTCCGGTGTGCTTCTCTGTAAACGAAGTATTACTAGCGCTTTCGAACTTTAAGTTCTTCCTCAGGTAACATGTCCAAGCGAACGCCATTCAAATTTGATTGAAAAAAGAACATCATTACGAATTTTCTCGTACGTATCGCTGGCGTCATTGACGCATGCGCCCCTTCGCTGGTTCTAAATTAACGTAACTTTTTGTCTACGAGCACCTGCCATGCAGTTGACAGGATGATCTCGTCTTTGTTGTTAATGCAATTGTCGTCTTTAAGCGTAGCCATACATATGTACAGGGCCTCTAGCCATCTAAGGTGGTGTGTGTACTTTGTAGTGCGGATTACCTTGGCCTGGCTGAATAACGGTTCTATTTCCGTATCCGAGGCATAGACGGCNATTGCTAAAAATGTTTTAATAAGCTTCTTTGATTTTTTTTTAATAAACCAATAGGTTTTAAAAAGTCATACTTTTCCTGTATAACTGTTAATTTAGTAGCATATTCATGTCTTTAAAAAAATATTTACCAGTAATTCTATGCTACTCTCTATATTCAATATTTAATAAATGAGATTATCAATAATTAAAAATAGGAGTTTAACTAAATTTCATTCATATTTTTATTTGTTAAAATTTATTTATTAGATTATTTATTAGCCTTATTTTGATTTAAATTATTAGACTATTACATTATTAATATTATATAAATACCTTTAATTTTAAATCAGCTAGAGGTACGGTATGCCATGGTTTATCATATGAAACAAGATGCTCCACTAATTCATAACTGTTTGGTAAGGCCAAGCTTACTTGTGTCTGCGTCCCATATTTAAATCTAACCTGAAAAATTTTTAAACCGTCAATTACATAATTATTTAAATAAGATCATTTACAAAGTGATAACAAGTGTTTGTTTTTCACATTTTTACTTATTAAATTTACTATAATGATTTTAAATCTAAATTTTATTAACTGAAATGTTTTAATAACCAGTTTAATTTTTCAAACATTACAATGTTTGATTACATGATTTTTTGAATAGGAAACATATTCAAAAATATCAATAAACATTAAAACCTACATAAACCAGAACCATACTATAAAAAAATTATTATTTCCATTTTGGCAGGTTTCCATTTTGAACATATTTTAGTCTCTCTTTTATCATCTTTAAATTACATCAGAGAAATGTCACACAGTTACATTAATTTTTTACAGTAAAATCATTATCATCTTTAAATCTAACAGTAAAATTTTTTTAATTTTAAAGTAATTCCAATTAAAAATGGAGTATTCAAATGCAAGAATTAAAAACTATTCAATTGCAAAAGTTCTTGTTGTTCTCAATGACTTGTGCTAGGTATTCAAATACTTCTCAAAAGAAATCCTTATGAGTTCACATGACAACAAACAAACCAATTCAAGTATAAAGAACTTGCAAGATATCATGCTCTGCTGTCAAACATTCTAATAGCATTACAGTAATATAATTGTGTGTTCTAATTTTTTTCTAAAATTTTTAGTACACAAATCACTTACGCTCTACATTCATCATGTTAATCAACTTGTTTTCAAATAGTTGATGATAATTCGTTACCACTAATTCATACAAGGTAAATTGACATGCATGTTATCTTATTCTCATTTTTTTCACAAATTACATTTTTTACTTGTTCTCAAGATCTTAATTCTTAGAAACATCTAGTATACTCCTCCCAATTCTTGAAGGTTCTCTATGTTTAAAATGTGGCCGTCGCCATAATATTGTATATTTGTAATTTTTGTAAGTCTTAGCCTTTTCTTTGTTCTTTCGTTTCCTAAAACTTTCCGAAGACCATTATCGCCTGAGGGTAGGATTAGCTGTTCTAAGAATCGGGGGAAGACAATAGAAAGAAGGTGACCTGGGAAATAGCAGCCAGGGGAGAAAGGCTGGTTTTCGACAAGACAGGAAGGGAGTCTGACATGTCGTGAAGAGCTCTGGAGAAAATTTGAGTAGAGAAGATCTTGAAGACTGAGGTCACAATAAAAGAAGCAGGTCCTACCCAAGGCATTGATCAACCTGACATATAGAAATCCTGGGTGAATCATCTCATTTCTCATTCTCTTCTATTATTCTACCTTCATCATTATTTCATTAGTATTAAGTTAAATTTAAGTTAGGGTTAAGTTAGATTTAGTTACGCATTTGTCTGAAATTTATTGTTACACAATCAGGACAGATGTGTCATCGTGCTTTGTTTGGGACAGAGTTCTTCGTGAAAATTCACACTCGATTGTAAATCATCATAAAATCAGTTGGGATTCTTTTTATATTTTGTTCACAGTGAAATAAAGGAACGAGACTGTGAATATACAATTGTCGTAGAGCCTTTTCTTTTTACCTTTTCGTTCACGGACCGTACAGTGTCACTTTTACGAACATCACAAAAATATCAAATTCTGTCCTGGTTAATTCTAATAAGATTAATGTTACAGATCTTGTGTATGTATGTTCCTCTCATCATATGACTTTCATTTCTGTGAAAAGTTCAAAATCATTCTTAAAATATAGTTTGTCACACTCTTCAATGACTATTATACCTGGAGATAATTTTATTTATTTTGCCTACAAGTGTAACCCTCACTTTATTCAGATTAAATTTCATTATTATTACCAAAAACATCACTCCATTCCAAAGAATTATTTCATTTAGGCAGGTTTCTGTTTTATTCAGGTACAATTTCAGACAGGTTTTACTACACTACATTTTTGTAGTTAAACCTTAAATTTTAAAAATTTTAAATTATATTGTAAGCAACAACAACAAAGTGATTTTTTTACTTAATAATAATCTCTAACTTAGTTTTATTGCAAGAAATAACAAAAACACAAAGAAACCAGCAAAAAAACAAATATTTTTTGTTTACTGGTTTCTTTGGTAATCACAACTCAAACTGGTATACATCCAGTTCGAGTTGTGGTTAATACTTATTGCAAAAAGTTTTATTGTGACTGTTGTTTTTTTTTCACATAAAGAATAGAAAGTTCTGCTTGCATGTTAACTTTCATACTGTTCTAATCAATAGTTTCCAAGCTTTAGGCAAAATTAATGGTTATGCTTATTTTTGGAGAGGAGTTTATAGGGTTACCATATATCCATATTTAGTATGGACAGTCCATACTTTAAAGAGCTCTGTCCATGTTCATACCACACTTAAATATAAAAAATGTTCTTATCTTTCAATTGATCACACAGCTAATAGTTAAATCATAACCACTGAGATTTAAATCTGACAAAATGTGCTAAATTTTTTATAATTATAATTGTATTTGTTGGCTAGGTAGAAACATTGTATAAGCAAATGTAATGGCTCTGTTGCTTAGAGAGCATATACACAAGCATTCATTATAACAGTTCTTTAATAGTATTTGTCTTGACTTTTAGATCTTTTAATTAAACTCTGGCTACCAGGTACAATATTAGAAAATGGAATTCTTATATTTGGTGTAGCTTCAAGTCTGTTCCTATACTTTGATTTAATTGCAGCAAATGAAAATCTCACCTTGCTTAAATATATCATTGTAAGAGGAAGAAAGAATAGCTAATTATGATACAATGGGGCACTCTTCTATTAAATTTGTCAAACCATTTAATGGCAATTCCTTGTATTTTTGTTTTAAATCAGATCATTAGTTAAATCAATTGCATTTTCATAATCACTTATAATGAAGCTTGCTGGCTTAGCTCTCACTGTAAATGCATTCTGAACCTGGAATTGTCCTCACTAAATTTTGGAATATATTGCAAAAGAGTTAATTGTAAGTAATGCAAGTGTTCTAAAATTATATTAGAAACTTCATTTACCTTAGAATTTATTTCAGTCAAAAATTTATTTTAAAACAATCAAAATGATTCTGTTCAATTGTAGAATTCCAGATATGTAACTTTCTATCAAAAGATAAAATTTATAATAAAAGATAAAATTCTAATAGTCTTTCTTTGTAATAAGTTGATTTCAATGTACCGTACTTTGTAAAAATATCTGCCAGATACAAAATTCATGAACCATGAAGAATTTGTTTAAAATTCAATAAAATTTTGTCCTCAATTACATTAAGTCAAGAAGACCAATAACTCACTATAAAGTTCAAAAGCCTCAATTGTGCTTTTCCACTAGATAGTCATCTTACCTCAGTATGTAGTAAAAGGTGTGTTATAGCACTACCATTTCATCACATCACACAGAATTTTAAATAATATGGATTGAAGTTGTTAATATTTTACATAATTGATCATTTTTATGTCTTTATCCAAAATAGTTTTAAAATATGCAGGTTTTTCTGTTATTAGTGCTTGTCTATGCAAAATTCTCACTTCTGGTAGCTCTTGAAGCTACTTGCAGAAAACATGTTACAACTCTCTTCATCTTTCCTACCATTGCTTAAGCACCATTTGTACAAATATCAATACACTTCCCCAACAGATTTCTTGTTTTGTAATGTAATAATTAATACAGTTGAATACATCTTTTCCAGTAATTTTTCTCATAGATATTTGCTGAAATAAATCATCTTCAATAGTTTTATCAAATATGCAACAAACATACATTAGTAATACTAACAAGCCTTGCAACATCTGTATATTCACCCAATGACAATGCATATTCCCTGCAAAGTCTAAGTAAATGAATTAGCTCTTTATGTTGGCAAAAAAATCTGATGCCATATGTAACAGTATTATTTTATAATTTTACTGTATCATTTCTTAGCAGCCTGCTCATTTAACACAGATGATACAATGTTTTTGATACATGACTTAATCAGCATCTTTCCAATTGCATGAGATTTACTAAGTGCAATGCAGTAAATGCACATGAAATGATACCTCTGTTGCAGTTTTAGCAATTGTAATCATTTGATTTTTCTAGTAAATCACATTCTCTTAAAAAGTATATCTTTTCTTTTTTAATCAGCATGTTTCAATTTGAAGCAGGGGCGTGCCGTGACATTTGATGATAGGGAAGCTGTGTTTCTGTAAGAAGCCGACATCCAGGGGCAATGTCAATTGCGCGTCAGTGATGGTCTAGGGTCCATTCGTATCGTTTATTCGATAAGCCAGTAAAAATCGTAGACTTCTCTAAATGCATTTTTAATATCACAATTACATTCCAAATTGCTATCCACGATATAAGGGCTACAATTAAAAATAAAATTATAAAAACTTACTTGGTGAAATAAAATATGTGGTGGATGTACTGGTACATACAAAATATTCTTCAATTATATAATATACTTTTAAAGAAAATTATAATTAAATATAGCTTTGTAAAGAAACGTACATAAAAATATAAAATATTCTTTACTTTTTAAATCTTAAAACAATGCACTTAGTCAAATAGCTCCCTACGAGTGGCTAATGGATGGAATCGAAGACGGTTGCAGAGCGTGCATACACGCGGACTGCCAAATCCCCAGGGTGCCGATACCGGTCAATGTCAAATACCTCTTTTGTCGCATCACTAGTATATCTCAAAGGACGCGACAGGGCTGTTGTAGATTTTAAACGTTTCTCACCATAGCTGTAAAAATCTAAATATGTTAAACTTAATAGTCATTTGTTTTCTAACTAATTCGTTTTAGGACCAGGTGTCCTCAGAAATTTCCAAAATTTACAACTTTTCGGTCACTCTCGTTGAACTGGAAAAATTTCTGTCTTTATTACATCTAATACAGTATTTCGAAGAAATCAGTCCCCACTGTACTCGGCTATAGATTGGTTCGGTTAAGCTTTTGTTTAAGTAATATTCCGGCTCTTTCATCAGGGTTTTGTTTATGTCCCCAATTCCCTAATCGCTTAATTATTTAACTACTTCTTAAGTAGAAATAAGTCGAAACCGGTTACTTTGTACTCGAATATTTGTAGTCTCGGGAAAAAAGTGGAAAGACAAATTTTTATGACAAACGGATACATAAATCGTAAATTTAAGGAAAATAAATTCTAGAGCTTTTTCTGTACCTCGTGCATCTCTCTCATTCATTAAATTTAGTTGTAAATGATGCTGTCAAAGTAACAGTTAATTTTTTAACATTATACAAGAATTGTACACGTTTTTTTCTACATCCCCTTAAAGATGGGATATACGAAATCGTAATATCACTGGTTTAACATTGAAATCCGTGAGTAATATAAAATCGGAGAGCGGAATAAAAATATCAAATATTTTAATGGATTTTTTTAAACTCCTGTCAACTATACAGAACTATCATAAAAACATACCAGTAAATTCTTATCGGTTGGGTTAAGTTATAAATCTACTCATTATTCATGTAATCGGCCAAATATCTAGCGGGCGGGCGACTAACAGCCCGGAACCGGTCCCGGATAGAATTGGAAGTGTTGGAATGTGTAGCATCAACTCAAGGTTGTAGGCTTCCACTGGCTAAACTGGGTGAGGTTGGTGCTCTGTAAAGCGCATGCGCAAATCTGGCTTTTTGGAATCTGACAATACAGAGATTCCACTCTGCCACTAATATTCGAATATACAATAGCAATCTTATTTTTTTTTCACATGTAGTATAGAAATTTGTAATAAGATAAATAATGCGGTTATAATAAAATATTGTGCAATTACTTTCATATAATTAAAATTAATATGTATTTATTTTTTATAAAATACAAGGCAAGCGGCGCTTCCACCACTTCTAATGATGGCATGCCACTGATTTGAAGTACCTGTAAAGTTTAGCTGAAGCCAAAAAACTGTTTGCTAGTATTTTATTACATAAAACACATTACATCTGTATCACAAATACAAGTAAATCCAAAATTTAAATAACTTTCATCATATTTCTGTTTGGGTCTGCTCTTACATGACACTTGTTCTTTAATATTAAATAAAAAGAATAAAAGATTAAATTTTGAAAAAACCAGTTTGTAACTACTCCATTTCTTCTCCATTCAGATGTCAGCATAAGTAGTTGCTGCTTCCTGTGATGGCATATTTTCACAGTTTTCAATTAACATTGCTTGTGACCTCACATTTACTATAATGAATGCCACCATACTTCAGTCACACTTGGAGATGTCAACAACCATACACAGCTGTCAACCAGCAGCTAAGTTATGACCAGAGCATGTGTTAGCATTTATTGCTGCATTTAAAACAGGACTCATATTAATTTTGATAATTTTCACAGAACAGTTATTCACTTTCTACAGAACACTGGTGTTCCACAGAACATAGTTTTGGAAACATTGTTCTAAACAATTTTCTTTGAAAAATGTTATAACAGAAACATTAAAGAAGCTAATTAAATTGATAAAAATAATGTAATATAGTTTGTTTTACAAACTATATTAAATTGCCAAATGTAATTATTAAATATTTCAAATCATTACCATTATTATTAGTAAGGAATAAAATAGTTTTGATGCTGTTAGTATTAAGAAATAGTAATTTTGCAATCCTTAAAACAATTTAAAGTATAAAATAAATGTGAATAATTATTTACGATAAACTGTAATATTTATATTTTTGAATTTCACAAGTTTAATTTTCTTTGAAAAAATATTTTGAATACATGATTGTATTATTGACAAATTGTGTGATAAAAGAAAATTTCTTTACTTTATTGTAATATTTTACCACTTATAGATTGCAAAGAAAATAATTGATTTCAAGCTAAATTGAATAATTTCAATATTAAATTAATAATTTATTTAAATAACATACCATTCGCCAATTCAAATAACCTTTTTCAGTCTCTCCAGATGGTACTGTGGGAAGAATAGGCTGTCCAAATAATTCATTTGCTACACAAGATTTTGCCCAAAAACTTTGTCCTAAAATCACAATTCCAACAGACTGAAATAATACTTCTTGAACAGTTTGGACATCTTTAGGTTTTAAACGAATTTCTAAAAGCTGTTCTGAAATTTAAATTTTTATGAAAAATTTTTTATTTAAATTTTTTTAAACTAATTAAATATTGAAAATATAAATTCTTTTAATTAAATATTTGAAATTCTATTATAACATTTTATTAAACATTAAAAAATATAGTCACAAATATAAAAGTAATAGTCAATAATCAAAGTTACATCAAAATTACATTTAAAATCAAAATAAAACACTGATTTTAAATGTAAAGTAGTTAAAAAAGAAAAAACATTAGAATGATAATTTTATGAGTTTTTTTTTACTCAAAAATCTCCATTAAGTAAGATTTAGTTACTACCGTATTTTGACGAGTTTAAGTCACACTTTTTTTTCTACTTTTTGGGGCTCAAAATCATGGTGCATCTTATACTTGACAGGTAACCATTTTTACAGTGAAATTATCTATAGTAGTGGTCCACTCTAGGGACCAACCTGTGCAGTGGTCCATTAAGCAGATGGTCCCTCAACCGAATGGCTAGAGTACCTAGATTAACAGAGTAGTGACATACGAGTCATTGCCGCCATGTTCTGTCGACTGTCATCACACGAACTCTGAGTTTACATTAAGAAATGACGATTATTTCAGTTTAATAAAGGTATCGATTCATCCATCCGTCATATTCTTGAATAAAAAAAAACGAATAAAATGCATCTTTAGACAATCCCATTAAAGTTTTTTGTAAATTTTTTGTCTCAAATTAGGGGTGCATCTTATACTTGACAGTGACTTATACTCGTCAAAATACGGTATTTAAATACTTTGGACTGTTCAATTATTATTAAGAATAGAGAAATCTCTTATGGAAACATTTTGAACTTTCAAAGATTCAAGATGACTTAAAATGCATGATTTTCTTCTGATAAAGAGAACAGAATAAATATTTTAAAATGATTAAACATTTATAAACATTTTAATCACCTATTAACAGTGCATAACTAGCCATTCCTGTGCCCAGTGCAAGAATTTGCATTTAGGACCCTTAATTAATTAGGTTTGGGAAAATAATAAAACAAATATATGCATTTTGGGCCCCCTTCCAAGTGAGCACTGTGCACCTTATAGGGCAGAGGGCGTGACTGCTTGACCTTTCCTCTCTGACCTCACTTTGCTCTTGGACATTGACTAGGAGAGACGCTTTCGTTATGCTAACCTTTTGGAATCAACTCCGCCAACGGACTCACATTTGAATAATAATTTAATTTAGGGACCTTTGTAAATATTCAGTAGTCATGAGAAATAAAATAAGGTATTTCGTCAGAATCAGTGTCTTCATTAACCTTGACTGATGAACAAAGGATGCTGGACATGTGGTTGAGACTGAAGCAATTATCATACAAGGTAGGACCAAATTCGAACCAATTCTACCTTCGGCAGATTTTAGCCACTCCGCTAAAACAAACCTGTTGCACCTGCCTAGATACGGCATTGCCTATTAACTTTTAGAAAAGTTCATTTCCAGACTAGAAATTTCATCATTAATTTCTGTTTATATCTACTTTTTAAAATTTATTTTCCATACAACCTACAACAAGTTCTCTAAAAAAATTCACAGAAAAATTATTTGATAATAAAATTTAGAACTTATCAATATTTTTAATCATCTCTCATTACTGTACATAATTGATAATAACTGAAAATATTCATATCTGAATCTCTATACTGAATCTGGAAAAAATCTCCCTACATATGATTATTTGATAAACGCATCTGATAAAGAACTATTTTATGAAAAATCAAATGATCATTACAGAGGAGAATTACTAGTGCTTTTAAATAATATCAATATAAAAAAAATTTACTTTTTGCATTTATTGATGCCCACTACTAAGAAAAAATTTATTTGTTATCAACATGCATCTAGTATTTGTTCTGTTATTTGTAAAGTTTCATTTTTTAAAAACTGCACTGTCACAAACCACTAGTGGTACTAAGTGGTTTATAGTACCACTTAGTACCACTAGTTTTAAAGATTTGAATAGTACAAAGTTCGAAAGACAAAGCATGACAGCAATTAATATTAATAAATTATATGAAAATATTTATTTAAGTAAACTGAAAATAACTTGACAGTATTATTTATTAAAAAAACAAAACCTTTGATAATAGCCAATAATTAATTGCTTATGGAACACATCAAAGATCCAAAATCATCATAAGATTTATATAACATTAACTCAGAACCAGATTTAATTGATTAAAGCTAAACAATCTGCCAAATTATTACAATTATTAAAATTAATTAATTAAATTAATACAAGATGGTGGCATATTCACCTACCTCTAGTCTAATTGTAACTAACTATTAATGTAGCCTGAAAACAGCCTGATAATTCAGCAAATCATTAGGCTTTAATCATATGATTTAATTCCTAATTTAACTTAATATCATTAATAACATTACACAAAAATGAAAAGTAAAAATTATATTAACAGATAAAACATTTTTATGCATTTTACTTAATAAGTATACATTAATTTAAAATCATTGTACACTTTATAATTATAAAAAATAATGTATTTAAGATACAGTGGTACCTCAGAATACAAAATTAATCCATTCCAAAACTGAGATCGTATCATGAAAATGTCGTAAGGTGGATCATTTTTTCCCATATGATTACATGTAAAACCAAATAATTCGTTCCAACGCGAAAAACACACTCAAGTTAAAGCCAAGTAATACATTAAAAAAAATAACTGTAGTAAGAAAAACAAATGAAAAATGCGAACTAATGTAACGTCGTATGGTGAGTTTTTGTTCGTATCGTGGAGCAAAAATATGTTCGAATTTCATGTCGTATCCTGAAAATTTCGTATGCTGGGGCGTTCGTAACCTGAGGTACCACTGTACTCATTTATATGAAGAACATATACAAGGAGAATATCTTCTATCAATTAGAATTCAATATAAATTCCAATTCACAAATGTTATTTAATTATCAGCTAACACAGATCATCATTTAAATTTTGGTTAAACTTTAGGAAACATTGAAAATTCATCAAAATGTTACAAAAGATTAATAGAAAAATAACAGATTATTGCATATGAATTAAGTTTTTTTTTATGAAACTAGGAAAAAAATGCTGATTGTATAATCATGGATGTTTAAATGGTAAAGACTAAAGAGATTATTAGAAAGTAATGTTCTAAAACAATCTGAAATTATTCAAACAATTCAACACAATGGTGAACATAATGTTAAATTAAATAGGTATTTACTTAAATTACTGAATTAAACATTTAATATTAATGTTAAGTTTAGAACTTTCATTAGTTAACATATTAACTTGTCAAAGTTTACTAATTTATAATTGGATTAATTAATTGTTTAATGATTAGAAAATTTTAATTATAAGTAAACATAACACATTTTCTACAGGTGTTCTGCATAAAATTTTAATCATTAGTAAATTTTGATTAAGTAAACTGATAAATTAAAAAAAAACTCCATTCAAATAAAATCTATGAATTAAATGCAAGAATATTTATTATTCAAATTATATAAAATNAATTTACCTGACGATGATCCATTGATTGGATTGAAAACGTTTGTGTTAAGAATAAATCTCTCAGCGAGTGAACAGGTGTTGATTTAGTTATAGTTTATTACAATTCTAAGTTAACAACTGCTACTTTACAACTGGTTAATATTAGACAAAACTAAACACTATGAAAACCTAACAAACCAGCATGTCTTAACAAATCCCGTGTCTTCTCAACAGTTTGTTGTCTGATATGCCCATTTAACAGAGGTGAAAACATTTACACTGTGTATAATTTTCTCGCTGGTTTGTTAGGATTTTGCAGTGTTTATTTTTGTCTAATTACAACTCTAATTAAAAATCATTTAAGAATCAAACTTGTTACAAATTAAAAGTTTCAATTTATAAACTTTAGCTAATTGTTAAATTTGTATTTAGTCTTAGCCTATCAAATTTAAAGCCTATGACTAAGCTTACAAATGTTCATTTAAGTAGTCTTAAAATGTTTTCTTTAACTTTTTTTAATTCTGTTCTTTCTTACAATTTTGCCTGCAATTAATTATCTCTTGTGTATAAATTTTATGAATACAGGAAACTCTTGGTTTACAACAGGATTTCATTGCTGAAGAAACTTAAAAATAAAATTGATATTTATGCAAATTAAATAGATTTAATTATACATTGTTGTGGCAACAGCTTTGGTCATAAACCATAAGTTGCCACCAGAAGGAACTCGGAATTGAACAGATCTGGCAACCTGACCTATGACCTCACTTTTGGTTCGGACCTTGCTCTAGATGCTTGTGCTCCCACCTCTGTGCTTTACTTGTACAATCATACCAGATCTCATGTACATAATAAATTTAAGTTTTTTGTATGTAGCCTTGTTTGTGTATCATAATTAATTAAGCACAAAGTAGCACTACAAACTGGTGACCTGAACATGATATATGATTTATGGTGCCCTCTACCTGATGAAGGACTCTACAGTACAACATGAAAACTCCATCCATTTGCATTGGATACAAACATTGGACTTTCATCTCTTTTGGAACTGCCTACTCATACATCTAGACCTTCAAAAAGTGTAACTGCAGATATTTTTTGTTGACGGTCAATGGCTCAACAGAAAGGTATTGTACTTGCCGTCCTTCTTTGTCCTCGTGCCACATGCCATCCTTTGTTCTCTAGCCACATCCTTTGCGTGCCATCTTTCTTTGTCCTCTCACCATGAGCTGAACTGTACATGCAACGCATCATTTACAGATAACCACCTTTGCACTGCCACAACTATGCTAAAATCATGGCTGAGGCAGAAAATAACAACAATCACCGTCACATAGTACACATCACAATCAGACCATTACTTTTCTAGAAGAGCAACCCTAACTTATGGTTCGCTCAGCTACAAGTGCAATTTTCCATTACCAACATAACCATTACCAACCATTACCATTTGTGTCGTCAACAACACAAAATTTAAACACGTTGTGGCAGTAGAGCCAG